CTGAATTTGGTAGATGCTCTTCTAAGAAACAAAATCTGGAAACCATAAATGAAAATAACTGATAGATATGATGATATAATTTTTTGATTTACATCTTTGCCAAAAATATTCCAAAAATCCCCCCAAACAGCTCAAACAGCACCACTGAGAGGTATTTGTGGCCACTGTTAACAAGCCGTTAACGCTCTTACCTGGACTGTGCTCAGCTTTACTCCGTCATGGCCCTCAGCATCAGTTTCAAACTGGGGCCCTTCCCATGGAGAACAGTTTCCCTCAAGCAACCACCCCTGCTTAAGTTCCTGAGTCTGTCTGCGTCCAGAGTTCCCAGGACCGTGAGGAGAGCTACCCAGGTCTGGGCGGAAGCTCTGGTTCTGCTGTTCACAAGCTGCGTGGCCCTGGGCACGTCCTGCAGCCTCTTTATGTTTCAGGGTAACGGCACAGCGGGGGTGGCAGCAGTTCTGAGCTCGCGGGGACGGCAGGGGCACTGAGCCCGCAGGGATGGCAGGAGTACTGAGCCTGCGGTGGGGTCGGCAGGGGCACTGAGCTCGCGGGGACGGCAGAAGTACTGAGCTCACAGCACTTCTCTGAGTCACCGAGCATTGTCCGGTGCATAGACAGTGTTCATTGTACATAGTCACTGTTCCTGGTCCATCCCCAGTCCGAGGGCATTCGGCACATAAGGACACCCAACACGTGTTTACTGAATACATTGCTGCTACAGACGAATAAGGAAAGGGTGTATGAGCTTGTGCTCAGTCGTTCAGTTGTGTCTGACCCTTTGTGACCCTGTGGGCTGCAGCCCACCAGGCTCCTCTGTCCACGCCTCAGAAAAATAAGCAAAGGGTATGGTAGGAACCACACAGGAAAATGCACTGTCTGCAAATACATGGAAAGAGGCTCAATCTCAGTAATAATGGTAGAAATACAAATTAAAACCACATTATTGTTTTAACCTCTGGATTGGAAAAAAAAGGTTAAATGGCTGACTGACTATATCCAGTGCAAGTAAGGTTGTGGGGAATTCTTCCTACACATGGTTGATGGAATAGAAAGTAATAGAATAGGCCTAGAGAAATATTTGGCAGTAATTTTTAAACCTTAAGCACACACATTAAGGACCCCACCTCTAGGTGTCTAGCCTGCAGAAATGATACATGGGCATGGAAAGATACTTCTGTGAGGGTGCTCGCTACACAGTGTTTGAAATTTAAAACATCGGAAATAACATAAATGCTCATCAGTTAAGAACTACTTTAGAAAATGGTGGTGCTTTCATATAAGTAAATGAAATAGATCTGAAAAAGGTCCACGATATATATATTCTTAAGGATATATATTTAAAGAGAGAGCAAACAGCAGACCAATATACTAATAGCTAATATTGGTTAAGCACATGTTAGGATGGTAAGCAATCTATATGAATTACCTTGTTTGATCATCTATACTACTTCAGTTTCTTCAGATGTAAAATAAGGGATAAGACCAGATAAGCTCTAAGATCCTTCTCGTCCTGGCTCTAAAATGCTACCTATACTTAGGTCCTTTTTTGAGAGCCATCTCCCTTAGAAAAGGCTGCAGCATGATGGTGCCTCTGGGAGTTGGACAGTCAGATTGATGTCTATTCTTACGGCTTCTACTGTGGAAACTCTGTAGGAGATGATTCTGCTTCCTGGAAAATATTCACAATCTTGTCCTCGGACATTAAACAAAATGAGATCATTGCTAATTGGTGAAGAATGACTTTCTTACATTAAGTGAACTGGCTTCCTCTTAAAGCCCGCCTTTAAAGCAGGGCAAGCTCAAGTCTCCTAACTGTGCAGGAGATACCAACCACACGGTCCCCTGAGCGTCTAATTGTGGATGAACAACACTTTTCATCACCTCCCACGTGCACAGAGGCTGGCCTCCCGGTGCTCCTGGGGCTGTGATGCTGGTGAGCACCACCTCTCAACTGGTGTCCGGGCAGTGGGGTGGCAGTGAGGTGTGACCAGCTGGAGGCAGTTGCCCATCCTAGCAGAGCCTTGTGTTTGGTCCCCTCACCATCCACGCCAGGCATGTGCAAAGGAGTGCCCTCAGTTCTGTCCTGTGGAGAAAGGGCAAATTTAAGGGGTGAACTTGTGTGGAATACTGTGGGAGTATAAGAACGTGAGTAGTGAGTTCAATATTTTGACTGTGCTTTTCATATTTTTAGAAAAATCTTATCTTTTGTGAAAACATAGCAAAAAGGTTACTCCTACAACTGCTCTAATTTTAAGTTTTCTTTTTAAAGTGGAAAAAATGTCTCTAGTATCTGAGAAAAACTATGTATTAGTAGGTACAAGTTCAAAGTAGAAAATAAGCTCTGATTTTTGCTTATTTGATAGAGACACTTTATCAAATAAAAACACTTGTTGCATAATCACATCCTAGACAGCCTCACCTCCGTTGTAAAGTCTGCTGGGACTTATTTGGATACCATTAGACGCGCTGGTGGCAGAGGAGGAGATGGTTAAACAGCATCACCATCTCAACGGACATGAGTTTGAGCACACTCCGGGAGATAGTGAAGGACAAGGAAGCCTGGCCTGCTGTAGTCTGTAAGGTCTCAGAGAATCAGATGTGACTTAGCGACTGAACAACAAGTAGCACTGCTGAGAACAATGTCCATCAGAGGGGCTGGAAAAACTGGGACGATATAGTCCAAGACAGAACAAAAGCCCGCTTCTGGCTTGTGTCAGACAGCTGGGGTATCAATTTGGAAACTGTCTGCTGTCAAGATCAGAGAAGTGCACTCTCTTACATGGGCTGCAAGAATCCATGCAAACATGGTGTTTAAATATTAAAAAGAAGGTGAGACAGGAGAACAGAACACAAGTGTATTTTCCTCTACTGGAAATTTTTGTTTTATATAGAGGTTATTATCAAAGCTGACTCTCAGAGCACTGTGAATATGCAGATGCTGTGTCAATAATCAAGTTTCTACATTATACCTAAAAAACCATCTGCTGTCTTCTGCACCGAAGGCTGAGTAAAGGCCAATAAAGTCACAAATAAACTAACACTATTCCTGAAAGGTTTTTCCCCGCAAGGGTAACAGAGTCCACAGTGGACTAGCCCACCTATTCCCTACATAAGACGTTGGCTTTGAGAGCCGCAGAGTGCAGATTGAGTATCTGGCTTTACTTCCTTTATGTGTTCAACAAGCTAGCAAGTAAGGCATGTAAATCTACTGCTCTAAAATGAGACGGGAATCAGCGGGTCTCTTCCGGCTCTGACGGGCCCCATGGACCCTTGGCCACCACGGAGACACACCCTGGGCTTCCCTAGTCGCGCGGTGGTAAAGAATGCCTGCCAGTGCAGGACGCGCGGGTTCGACTCCTGGTCTGGGAAGACCCCGCGAGCCAGGAGGCAGCTGCGCCTGCGCACCGCATGTGCTGAGCCGGCACCCGAGGGCCCGAGACCTGCAGCTCGTGAAGCCTTCGCCACGAGAGGCTTGCGCGCGGCGCTAGAGAAAAGCCTGAGCGACATCGAAGGCCCGGCACAGCCAACAGATACCTCAAATGAGACATTCAAAACAGAACAAAACATCCAAAAGCTGTCTTTACAAGAGACCCAGGTTGCTGCTGCGTTGAGCTCCCGGCCAGTGCTCCGCTTTGCCCACCGCCGTCCTCCAACGCCGGCGCACCTGGAGAGAGGAAGGCGCTGCTCCCGTCCCGGTGCTCCTCCGCTCCGCGGCCGGAGGCGCGGCTCCCCCATCTCCCGAGGGCCTTGGGGAAACCTCAGGAAGAGACAGGGGTGGAGGCCGGTGTCGGGCGGCAGGAGGACCGGCTCGGTCGTGCACGCGCGCGTTTCCCGTAAGACTTGTCTTCAGGGCAGCGGCGCGCCCAGTGCTGACTAAGGTGAAGTCGCCTCATGGAGGTTCTGTCCGTGGTCCGTTCCCAACGAAGTTAGTCCCCGAGGCTCCTGCATTTCCTCTGGAAAGCCCACCCGCCTCCTGGACGTGGCTGAGCCCAGCCCTGGGCTGGACTCATGCTGGGACTCGGACACACGGTAAGAAGAGGCGAGTAACCGAGTCGTGAGTTCCTGTGCCTGAATTCTGGAGAGAATAGTTGACGGAAATACTGGTTATTCATTTTATCTTGAAAAGGCTAAGTTTTTAGTTCAAAAATTAGTGCCCCTCTTGGCCAACTTGCTTACATGTTCTAGGTCTGTTGAGAAACTATTATACCTGCCCTTATTTCTCCAGATGGAAGAACTCATTACTCTCAGCTTTCCCCTTCCAGTTCAAACACAGACTGTCTTTCAGGGGGGCTCAAGAAGACTGATCCGTTAAATTCTCCAGTGCTGTCAACAGTAGCTCTACTTTAGAACAGAAAGGAAGGACACATCCATCCTTTCATCAGAAGGAGACTTTGGAGCAAAAAAAAAATCCTCTAGACATTTTCTGAACTTAAGCTTTTATTTATTTCTGTTGCATCACCAAATGATTTCAACTTGGGGGAGTATTTTAATATAGAAAAAAATATAAAACTCTAGCATATTTGACGTTTGAAATTATACTGATTGGCTTATATTTTTAAACACACAAATAAGACAGCCATCAGTGTTTGACAGTTTTTACACAAAATGGATTGTAAGAAACAAGTGAAAGGGAAAGTGTCAACAAAATTTTTAATAAAATTTAAAAGACAAATGCACAGAATTGCAGGAGGTGTATTAAGTCCATGTGGAATTTAAAATGACTTCTGTGGTTTATAATCCTTTTAAGATTCAATCTGGAAAATTGCTTTGGAACAATGAAAACATGAAATCAAATCATAAAGCAGACTAACGGATAAAGACTGTAACACAAATGGACATATTTTATCCTGTCTGTTCACGATGAGAGCATATTTCTATTTCTTTTATGAGCACAAAGAAGGACCTACATTAATTTGCCTCACAATAGTCATGACTTCTTTTGCAATATTCTAAGTAATTTTAAAACTCTAATCTGATCATATTTTTTTTAATGTTCACAGTTGCTTACTGGTTCAATTCTTGTATATATACCAAAAAAAGAAGTCAAAACCACAGACTGATGGTCATACAGCCGTGGATGTCACAGAGCAGCTGCTTCGGGGATTAGATCGTAAGTGTGGTTTTTAGCGCATTTACATTTTACTTTAAAATTATCATCTTTGGATGTGAATATTACTGATAATCAGTGTCTGCCAGGCACAGACTAGATAGACAAGATCAGAAACCACATCTTCTCATTGAGGTTTATTCCCTCACTATTTCTGTGCAACTTTTCAGAACACATTGAAATTCTCTGCTGCAGTCGCCACGTGACTGGGTTTTAATGTACGGCTGCATGTCCCAAGGGCAGAGCAAATTATGCTCCCTGAACCCTTTATCTGTAGGCAGAATACAACAGGGCAATGTAAAATAGAAGACAGATTTATTTAGACATAAACAATGTAAAAAATATTATTCGATACAAGAAACATAAAATCCAATATCCCAATAAATCTAGCTGGCAAGCCTTACCTTATTGCTAAATGATTGCACAAAAGAACAAACTTTCTTTAATGTTTCCAGGTTGACAAATGCAATATGTTCTGTCTACAGCCTCCTAACTTTGTCAGGAGCTATAAAGTCCTTCCCTCTCGGGTGCCAATATTTCCGAGGAGGTTTACAGGATTTCAGAATCTATCCTGTGGCAGCTTATGGGAGGCCCCGGCCTTGTATTTATCCCCTGATATTTATGGAAAACAGTGGGCACGGCTGGAGTGTAATGTTCCAGTGGAGTGTAAGAGTTGCTTATATTTTGTTTTAAAATTATTATCAGTTATAAACATGATCTGGGCCAGCATATCTCAGACATTAATGTGCATATATATCACTTGAGGATCTTGTTAGAACGCAGACTCTGAGTCAGTTGTTCTGGGTGAGACCCGGGAGTCTTTATTTTGACCAAGATGTAGTCAGTGCTGCATGTCTCTGGGCCCTATTTGGTGTTGCAAGAGGACCTCATTTCCAAAAGAGAAAAATCTGACCTAAACTGGACTTAGAAACTTAAGTTTGCACAGATCTTAGGACCGTTGTGTCGGTAGGTCTATGACCCTGTTCCTGTGTGTGGGCCTGGGTCGGGCCTAGGGGCGCAGGTGAGGGTGCATGGTGCCGTCCTTCCCCTTGGCGCTGGCGCGGGTGTAGGGAGCCCCGGCTGGGAGGGGAGGGCTTGTGGAGCTCACTGCTGGGGCCGGAAGTCCACGTCCTCAATCCAGCCCACGGTCCTGCCAGGCCCTGCAGACACCTGCCTTCCTTCTGGCTCTCTCCTGTCCTGCCTACCTCCTCCCAACATTCCACGTGCCCCAGACTTTATGGTTCAGTACAGTTCAGTCCAGTCGCTCAGTCGTGTCCGACTCTTTGCAACCCTATGGACCACAGCACTCCAGGTCTCCCTGTCCATCACCAACTCCCGGAGTTTACCCAAACTCATGTCCATTGAGTCGGTGATGGGCTTTATTGTAAATCTCTGCATTCCTGTCAGGAATGACTCAGTGTTCCCTGATGATGGATGCAAATATTATCCTTTAGGTGGGGTGGAGCCCTGGAAAGTTTCTAGCAAGGAAACGGCCCTGGAAGAGCTAGAGTTTGATCTGAGCTGTTGAATATCACATCAACAGTGCCTAGGGCAGTGTCCAGCAGTAAGACTTCAGTAAGCGTTGCTCAGTGAAGGAATGAGTGCATGAATGAGTGTTTGCATTTTGGGCTGGCTTACTACTTGAAGGGCCAAGGGTGGCCTAGGGGATGTGAGAGTTGGGGAGGATGGGTTGACCACTCACCTGTTCTGAGTCCCTACACTAAGCCCCAAGGCCGACCTCATTATTTACTCTTCTGAAATCCTTCCCATAACCAGAGAGCAGTAAGTACAAACTGGTTTCTGTCTGAGTTTGAACCCAGCGCTCTCTAACCCCAGGACCTTTATTTTTAGCCCACTGCTCTTTCAGAAGATGTTATGTATGTGTTGCCTGTACCTGTGCAATGCAGAGCAAGTGCGTGTTGGATGCAAGTATAAAATGGCAACAGGAAGTGGGGCAAAATGATTAAATTCTCAGGAGGCTTAGGAGCCGATCAGATCTGGTTTCAAATTTGCTTCTTTCACTTAATAGTGAACTTGGGCAAATTAGTTACCCTCTCTGTATCTGATCTGACTTCCCTAAGTGGCAGCAACAGGGCCTGCTTTGCAGAACTCTGTAAGACAGACATGCTATAATGGAGGAAGGGCTCAGCAGATTGTTTGACTTATACACAGTGCTTAGTACAGGGAAATTCTATTAGTTATCTTTATTGTTGTTAACAAATGTGCTTACATTTTACTTGGAAAGATATAGACTGACTAATTAAGGAAAATTCTTTTTAATTGTGAATAAGCTAGAAATTTCTCAGAATAAAATGCCGGATGGTTTATTTGTGATGACTTAATTATAATCTTGCCTAAGGACCATGGCCTGAAAATGCTTTCTAACCACATAATTCCATTTTTTCCATGTTTTCTCAGCTAAATAAAGAGGGCAGTCATAGTATGGACCTACTTCATAAGTTTTTGAAGAATATCAAACTTGAGTGTCTTAAATAGTTTGAAAAATGCAAGTAAGATATATATTCTTATTAATAATTATCTTTTCTTCTGAGGTCCAATCCAAAGCTACTTTGGTAAGCCACTGACTGAACAGCCTTTCTCTATCAGGCGCTTGTCAATTGGTGCAATGGAAATGCCCCCAAGTGGTGTCGGAATATATTTTGGTGAGTTTCCATGGCAACCTATAGACTGCTTTTGAACGCCTTAACTCTGTAAGATTCAGTTCTGTTACAGTCAAGATAATCAATCACAATATTAGACCAACTTGAAGTATAATTCAAGCCAATTTCCATTTTTATTGAGTACATCATATTTATATAATAATTTCTCTTCATAGTACGCCTTTCACGTTATGTGAAAACACAAATAACTTGCTTCATCTGGCAACTACCATCTCACCACTTATGCACAACCACATCTCATAGATAAATATTGCTTGAACATTTCTTTTTCTTGGAAATATTTCCTTTATGACACTTGCCAGGCCAAAATTTTGGGATTCTGTTAAGTTTCTCAGTGTATTTTTATGCAAGACCAAATGAAAACCTGGCTTTAGTATTAGAACTCTTGCAGGAAAAGTGGATGATCATTTGATGAGAGTTGCATAATATTTTCTTCGACATGATTTTCAGTTAACTTGATTGATAATTTCTACTCAGAAACCTAGTTACATAGAGAGAAATCGAGGACAATGAAGTCACTAACATATTAACAAGGGATTTTCCTGGCTGAGAGGAAGATGCAATTAAGTTGTTTGGATTAATCACATGACAAAAAGGAAGGCTGTACAGAGTAATGAGGGCCAGCGGGCCGAGGCCTCAAGTAGAAAAGAACAATTGTGTCCAAACCACTGTTTAACTTCAAGGAAAATCTTTCCATCGTTCAGGGAATCATGCCTTTAGGATACCTCTCAGTTGCGTATCTCAGCCCACCTTGGACAAATACTGAAGTCCTGTGGGCAACTTTAAATGTATTTACCTGTGGTTTGTATACCAACCTTCACTCCTTCCCTCTGCCTGTGGAAAGCTCATAAATAATAGTTGAGGGATTCTTTTTTCTCCTCTTACCCTTAAAAAAAAAAAAAGACCTGCTAATTTTGAGAACTGTGATAATTTTCCTGATATTTATATAACAAGATGAAAAACATATTTGTCAGACTCCCAAAACTCCCTGGGAGTCTGGGGTTAGCATATGTAAACTATTATATATAGAATGGATACACAGCAAGGTCCGTGCGGCACAGGGAACTGCATTCAGTAAGCTGTGATAAACCATAATGGAGAGAATACGAAAAAAGAATGTGTATATTATATATGGACAGCTGAACCGCTCTGCTCTACAGCAGAAGTTAACATTGTGAACTGACTCTGTTTCTGTTGAGCTGCTCAGTCGTGTCCGACCCTTTGCTGCCCGTGGGCTGCAGCCCGCCAGGCTCCTCTGTCCACGGGATTCTCCAGGCAAGAGCGCTGGAGAGGGTTGCCATTTCCTCCTCCAGGGGGTTTTCCTGACCCAGGAAGCAAACTCGCATCTCCAGCTCGACAGGTGGATTCTTCACCACTGAGCCACCAGGGAAGACTGTAAATTAACTATACTTCAGTGCAAAAAAAAAAAATAAAGTTGTCAGAATTCCAGAGAAAATGGTTCTGCCAGGCACTGAGTGAGACAAGAGAGTAGATGTGTTTCGGTGCCTCCCGGGTTCCTGTGGTTGGAGCCTCACTGACTCACCAGTGACTTCAGTGGAAAGGGAGTAAATGGGGAGCCGAGAGAATGGAGGGGAAACGCGTTAGAAAGGAAAGGAAGGAGAGAGCCTTACAGGCGACTTCTCGGGTTTGCAGCTCCGGAGGGAGCGCTCCAGCCGCCTGAGCTAGCGGAAGAGGGTGGCTGACGGGCCGGCTGAGCTCTGAGGCTCTTCCCCCAGGGCCTCCAGGGCCCCCGAGCCGGCCTGCAGTGGGTGCGGGAAGGGAAACAGAGGCACTGATACAGAAAGAGAGGGACACGGAGAATAAGGAGTCAGGACGGGCATGGAGGACTCTGGAGCTAGTCCTGGGCTCCACGCAGCGTGGAGCGTGTCCCGTGGAAGGAAGGCGGGCTCCGGAATGACAGCTAGACGAGAGTCTGAGAAAAAGGAAGCCAGGCAGGGCGGGGGCTGTGCGGGTGGTGGGATGGCCCCCATGTGAGTGAGTGAGCCCACGGGTCTCCAGGAAACCCCCCCCAGAATCATCACGCACTTGGTGGGTTTGCAGAAGTTAGTAGAAGTGGCTCTGCGAAGGTTTGGTGCCGCGAGCAGAGTATAAACATCCAACGAGGATTCAGAAGGGAAATTCAGAGGATTCCTAGAGACACACAGCTGGGGCAGTGCGGACACTGTGAATAAGGTGATAAGGCATTAGATGAGTTACAGTTGCCTTCCAGTAACAAGGAGAAAGAGCCCGAATTTGGGGAGAGGTTTAGACGACTCGGTGCCTTTCCTTGTAATTGTTTCCAGGTAGGAAGGGGTCCAGAGTGATCCAAGTGAGTCCAGATCCAGAACCGCTGGTCCAGGGACTCGGGGCCTGAAAACGACGTTGACCCAGCAGTAGTCGTGTTAACATTGAGGACGCGTCTGGAAGAACGGAAGCAGACTCTGACGAGGGTGGAGTCTCCTGAGGGCCACTGTGGTGGTACGCATGCGTTTTGATGGGTGTTGTGTGTTTGTTACTGACTCGGGTCTCGGACCCTCTAGTCAATATACACTGATGAGGAATCCAGGCGAGGCTCTACTGGGGCTGTGCAACTCGGGGGAGCAAACACACAGCGTCCCCGCTCCCTCCCCGGGGAAGGCCGAGGGTCTCCACCGCGCCGATGGCGGGGAGGACGGTGGGGCCGCCCGCTTGGCGGTGCTGTGCGCAGGGTCTGCCCTGCTTTCTGGCATTCCGTGTCTTCTTATCCATACGCACACAGTTATTTTAGCCTCTTACAGCTTCTTTTTATTCTGTTGCTCACGGAGACCTTTGTTTAGGTTCGAATGCTCCAGTGAAGAGTCCCAGCTCCCAGCTCCCAGCCTGTCTCCTGTGCAAACCTCTACCCTCTGTGGACACAAGTCGACGGGGACCCTCTACCTGCCTCTGCGCAGCGGTCACACCACGCCCTCCATCCTCACCTAAACGGGTGTGGTGACGGCCCCGAGTTATCACACCCTAAACAGGAGTCTGTCTATCCCCGTTATATCTGAATGCAGTGTATGAATTTTCCTCTGGGCAGTACTTGGGAGACTAGACAAAGCGTCTACCGTGGGGACTACCTGCTTTTCCAAAAGGCACCTAATAAATTACTGAGGGAACCTCTTGGCTCTCCTCTTCTGGAAACTATACGTAGATAACTTTCCACCTTGACAGGCTTCAGACACCAAGATCCAACCTTTTGGACTGTAGATACCTTCTCTATTTGCTTTATTTTATTATACCAAAGCATTTTGCTAAGAGTATGTTAAGGCATGTCTCTTTCAAGTTAATTAAATTAGAGTACATTTTGAAATCCCCTTGTGATTCCCTCAATTAAATGGATGTCACAAAAATAAATGAAAATTCCTGGTCTGGGGCATTCACTTGCATGAACCAAACAAATGAGTCAAGTCTCTTTTTAGTTCTAATATTCTAATAAATTTGTGTCAATATTTAGCTTCTATTTTATTTGAGGTATATTAGTCTTGGCATTTAGAAAATGGACGTTGAATAGTTATATTGGTTATATGGAATGAAGAGAAAAGCATCCTGACAATGATAAGATCTTTTGAGACTTGTAAACACTATCTTAGTGGCCTAAAAATAGATTTCAGGACTAAAAAAAAAGGTTTTCATTCAGCCATGAAACACCTACCAGTGTTTACCTAGGCACAAGTTTTTCCAGAGCTTAAGAACCATTAAATGATGCCTGATTATAACAAATTGTTCTCTTAGTTTAAACAAATAGTCTTTTCAAAGTAGTCAGCCATATCGTCACATGAAACCTGAAGTTGTGTGTGGCAGCTGTTCCCTAGCTTTAAAAGCACTGAAACCTGCTGGATGCCGTGCGTCCAGATAACGCGCCTTCTCTGTACTGGAGCTGCGGCCTTCCGAGGAATAGAGCACTGTTCCCTGAGCTTCTGAAGGCCCAGGTGAACTTGTTCACAGAGGCAGCGAAGTTTGGAAGGCGGGGGCTCTGGCTCTGCTTATTCCATGTAGCTACCTCCAGCCTGATTCTTCGTCCAGCTCGGAGGGAAAGTCCTGGTCCAGCGTTGGAGCAATTTACGTGCTGCAGCTAAGAAACTAATAATCTGGCACTCCTTCAAATCTGTGTTTCTTTTTTCATGCTTTTATTTTTGTATTGGGGCATAGCTGATTAACAAGCGAAGTGACAGTTTCAGGTGAACAATGAAGGGACTCAGCCATCCATGTATCCATCCTCCCCCAAACTCTGCCCTCACCCAGGCTCCCACAAAACACTGAGCAGAGTCCCACGTGCCGTACAGGAGGTCCTCGCTGGTGATCCATTTTAGATACAGCCGTGCATCCCTGTCCATCCATCCCCAGCCCTAACTAGTCCTTCCCCATTCTGCCCTCAGGGAGCCATGTGCTTGCTGTCTAAGGCTGTGAGTCTGTCTCTGCCCCGTAAGTAAGTTCATTTGTAACATTTCTTTCTAGACTCCACATATAAGGGGCATCATGCAACATTTCTCCCCCTCTGCCTGACCCACCTCACCCAGCATGATACGCTCTAGTCCATCCATATTGGTGCACATGGCGTTATCTCTTTCTTTTTAATGGCTGAGTAATATTCCATTGTGTATACGTACCCCATCTTCTTTATCCATTCTTCTGTCAACAGACGTTTAGGTTGCCTTGTCTTGCCCAGTGTAAGCAGTGCTGCAATGAATATTGGGGTGCTGTCTTTTCAAAGCAGTCAGCCATATCGTCACATGAAACCTGAAGCTGTGTGTGACAGCTGTTCCCTAGCTTTAAAAGCACTGAAACCTGCTGGATGCCGTGCGTCCAGATAACGCGCCTTCTCTGTACTGGAGCTGCGGCCTTCCGAGGAACAGAGCACTGTTCCCTGAGCTTCTGAAGGCCCAGGTGAACTTGTTCACAGAGGCAGCGAAGTTTGGAAGGCGGGGGCTCTGGCTCTGCTTATTCCATGTAGCTACCTCCAGCCTGATTCTTCGTCCAGCTCGGAGGGAAAGTCCTGGTCCAGCGTTGGAGCAATTTACGTGCTGCAGCTAAGAAACTAATAATCTGGCACTCCTTCAAATCTGTGTTTCTTTTTTCATGCTTTTATTTTTGTATTGGGGCATAGCTGATTAACAAGCGAAGTGACAGTTTCAGGTGAACAATGAAGGGACTCAGCCATCCATGTATCCATCCTCCCCCAAACTCCGCCCTCACCCAGGCTCCCACAAAACACTGAGCAGAGTCCCACGTGCCGTACAGGAGGTCCTTGCTGGTGATCCATTTTAGATACAGCCGTGCATCCCTGTCCATCCATCCCCAGCCCTAACTAGTCCTTCCCCATTCTGCCCCCAGGGAGCCATAAGCTTGCTGTCTAAGGCTGTGAGTCTGTCTCTGCCCCGTAAGTAAGTTCATTTGTAACATTTCTTTCTAGACTCCACATATAAGGGGCATCATGGAACATTTCTCCCCCTCTGCCTGACCCACCTCACCCAGCATGATACGCTCTAGTCCATCCATATTGGTGCACATGGCATTATCTCTTTCTTTTTAATGGCTGAGTAATATTCCATTGTGTATACGTACCCCATCTTCTTTATCCATTCTTCTGTCAACAGACGTTTAGGTTGCCTTGTCTTGCCCAGTGTAAGCAGTGCTGCAATGAATATTGGGGTGCATGTATCCTTTCAGATCATGTTTTTCTCTAGATATAAGCCCAGGAATGGGATTGCAGGGTCGTACAGTAGCCCTATTTTTAGTTTCTAAGGAACCTCCACACTGTTCTCCATAGTGGCTGTGCCCATTCACATTCCCCCCAACAATGTAGGAGGGCTCCCTTATTTCCACACCCTCTCCAGCATTGATTGTTGGTGGATTTTTTGATGACAGCCCTTCTGGCTGGTCTGAGGTGACATCTCATTGTAGTTTTGATCAAATCTGTATTTCCTAAATATCATTTTCCTCTTTGTTTGAAGATTATTGGGGAAAAGGTGGACAAGGTTGGCCTGGGGCCAGGCTCTGTCCTTCCTGTCTCCCTGGGTAATTCAGTCCCTGCCCAAACTTACACCCCCAACTTGGCAAAAGGACAGTTACCTTGCACTAAAGTCACCTTTGCACTGTCTCCTGTTACTCAGGCATTCTCTTGGATATAGCCTTGATGCTAAAACAAGTAGAACCCAATAAGACACAAAGAGAAAATAGTGGTTTTTTCCCCTCAAGTTCCCTTAAATCCTTTGTGTACATTAGTTCTTTCCCTATCAATTGATGAAACCTTGGCTTTTATGTTCACTTGTAGACAATGTTTTAAAGTCCTCCAGGAACTTCTAGTCAAAGCACAATATCAGTAATTAAAATGTTTGCTCCGATATAGCAGTCAAAGCTGCAAACTTCAATCAAATGGAAAGCTTCTCTTCCTCTGTATTGGGCTACTTCCAGCTGAATGCCGATGGTGGTGAAATGCATGCACAATCAGACTCTTTATACTCTGACTTATTCTTACTTTAATTCTCTCCAATTCAATCAGCCTGACTCTGACTTCTGCTCTGGGGGTGGGGTTAGACAAAAACATGAGGCAGTAGGGAAGGTCTGTGTCGCTGCTGTGTGATAAGACATGTGGTCTCTGGGCTTCCTTCATTCTCAAAGCTGACTTTCCCCCTGCTGGGTGCTTCAGAATGTTTTTCTGATATTTACATACTAAAATATCCAACTACCTTTCACTTAATTTGGTGATGAGTCTCTTCCCACTTGCATCTCATGATTCCTGATCACTTTCACATTGTTAATCTCTACTCTTGGGAATCTCATCCATCCTGCAAGCTGTTTTTTTAGGCAAAATCCAAAGCAGTTCCCAAAGCAGCCTTCTTTTATGTGTCATACCAAGGCACAGTTGGGTAAGCTTCACTTCAGCACCCTGACAGCCTGTTCTCCACATAGGCACATGGGCAAAGGCTTGATCACAGTCTTATCCAAGTCTTGGCCGAATGCCCTGTGGTTCCGAGAACAAGGGGAGATAAAGAGTCATGTGAAGTGCCGTCCAACACGTTTTTTCATCTGCCTTCCTGTCTTGTGAGAAACTTCCATAAGACTGTTTCTCATCCAGCTCCCTGATTTCAGCCAAGAACAGTGCTTTCTCCTGCTTCTCTTCTCCCTCCTTCAGTTCAGTCGCTCAGTCATGTCTAACCCTTGGCGACCCCATGGACTGCAGCGCGCCAGGCCTCCCTGTCCATCACCAACTCCCGGAGCTTACTCAAACTCCCGTCCATTGAGTCAGTGATGCCATCCAACCGTCTCGTCCTCTGTCGTCCCCTTCTCCTCCTGTCCTCAATCTTTCCCAGCGTCAGGGTCTTTTCCAGTGAGTCAGCTCTTCACATCAGGTGGCCGAAGTATTGGAGTTTCAGCTTCAGCATCAGTCCTTCCAATGAATATTTAGGATTAGTTTCCTTTAGGATTGACTACTTTGATCTCTTTGCCATCGAAGGGACTCTCAAGAGTCTTCTCTAACATCACAGTTCAAAAGCATCAGTTCTTCGGCTCTCAGCTTTCTTTATAGTCCAACTCTCATATCCATAGATGACTACTGGTAAAACCATAGCCTTGACAGATGGACCTTTGTCAGCAAAGTAATGTCTCTGCTTTTTAATATGCTGTGTAGGTTCATCATAGCTTCTCTTCCAAGGAGTAAGCGTCTTTTAATTTCACGGCTGCAGTCACCATCTGCAGTGATATTGGAGCCCAAGAGAATAAGGTCTCTCACTGTTTCCACTGTTTCTCCGTCTATTTGATATGAAGTCATGGAACCAGATGCCATGATCTTAGTTTTCTGAATGTTGAGTTTTAAGCCAGCTTTTTCACTCTCCTGTGTTAGTCCATAACACTGTTTGGCTACAGCTCAGGGTTGACTCCTTAGCACTAGATTGGCCACTACCCACATCACCCTTCTTATTTGGTGTCGTCTCCTGTCCTGTGGAAGAGAGGGCTGGAGGGCCGACACCGTGGTGGCCCTGGCTGTGCTGCGCGATCAGAATCTGTGTACCTGAATCCCCTGGGGCTCACTGTGACGCTGCCAGCCAGATCTCCAGAAGTGTGGCACGCCAATCTAGCGGTTTCTGTGGTGACCCTAGGGCTTCTGCTCACTTGCCACTACCCAGAGACTGCTTAACTGCTGGACAGAACAAGCCAGCCACACTCTCTAATCTCTATACTTCTCCAGTCTCTGTTCCTGACAAATTTCGGGGATACAAGTCAAACTTTCTAAGCAGTTTTCCTGAAGTTCCTCCTTGAGGTAGGAGTGGTACACCCCAGTATGACTGAATATGAGGCCCCAGTGCTCCAACTTTCCCACCACAGCAGTCCACTCCCCAACACCTTCAACCCAAACTTGTTTATATCCTCAAATGTGTGCCTGTCTGCAAAACTGGTCAGCCTTCTTTGCACGCTGGCTTAGAACTTATAAAAGATGTTACCAGGCAGGAGAAAAGGTTGAGGGGGTCAGGAGGTATAGACTGATAATAAAACAAAGGTCATGGATGGAATGTACAGCATGGTGACTGTAGTCAATAATACTGCATTGCATACTTTAAATTTGCTCAGACAATAACCTTAAATGTCCCATATAGTTATAAAAGATGGACTTTTATAACTGTGGACTT